GCGTGGTGGAAATACCTTAGGCATTGCTCCCCTGCACTAATTTCGTTTCTGGTCTGTAGGCTTCCTCTAACCGAGTTATGAATATTTTCACTGAGCACCCATTTTCTAGAGAACGCCCCGCCCACCGAGGGTGGGTCTCCTCAGTTCGATCTGGCTTACCAACCCACACCTATGCCCACTTTTGTCCCGGTCTCGAGGCTGTTTTGTGACTGAATTTGAAATCAACCGATGCACGCCACGCCCACTGTGGGCGGGGCTCCGCTTGGCTGATGTGTGTTTTTTACTTCTAGAGGATATGGTACACCCATCCCAAACTTGACCTGGACCCAGTAGGTTGTTGTCCGCTTAATACGGAATTTCGTGACAGACAGACAGACAGACAGACAGACTTAGCGCATTATATATAGTAGGGATACAACGCAGAAAATTCTCTTTAATGTTTAATATGATTTTCAATCGCTGTGCAAGATGGTTTGAGCTTCTGCCATCAAACGTTCTTCAATCCGCTAACAGCAAAATTTTTAGAGAAAGGATTGAAAGGCTTGACATTTTTCCTACTCTTCATATCTCAGAATATCGGAGGATGAGCTCATGCAAAAGAACTTTTTCCAACTTATGGTTCAGAAGCTGGTCCAAGAAGCAAGGATGGCTGGGTGTTTCATGATCTCCTCTCACAGTTTTACTTTCAGTTTTTTTTCGCATCCACTGATGTGTTACCACTTACACTTCTTCTATAGTAGTTAATTCTCTCTGTAAAACATCCGCCTAGCTTATTAAGCGACCTTTTTTAGTCTCTCTCTTTTGAATTATTAAATGCCAGCTATTGGTCCTGACCGCTGTTTCTGTTACTACTGGAACATCAATCCTCCTCACGTCGGTCAGACATTCACTCACTGCCTACATAACAATACCGTCCATTATTCGAGAGGTGGTCAACAAGCTTTCAGATTCAGATTGCTTGGGTCAACAAGTTTCTGATTCTGACTGCTTGGGTCTGGGTCTTACGCCCTGGGTTCGTGTTTAGATCAAAGAGGCAACTACTTTGGCCCGCCCGGGAATAACCTATGTTAGTTGCGTTGCCCAGACCGACCACGCTCTCCCTCGTTATCAACTCTTACACGATATGAGATGTTGCTTCATCATTGTTCTCATTAATATGTAGGTAGTGGTGAATTCTTCGAGGAGCTTCTCATTCACATTCACTTTCAAGGTCACCAATGCTGACAATTTTATTATTCCTAAGGACACATTCTATACAGTTGGGTCGCTAATCTAGGCGTGTGTTGAAGTAAGAATTTATCTAGCAGTCAATTTTGTATTTATAAACACGATTATCTTAGGCGCACCTTGAG